TACTGCTGTGACACTGAGCCAACCAACACTTCATTTTTCTTTATTTTCTTTATTTATGACAGAGCATGTGCAAGTCAGAGAGAGGGAGGAAAACTTTCAGAGTCTAGTCACACTGTAATCCCATTCCTCTAATCCTCTAGCTCATGGGATCCTGCAGGGACACTCATACACAAGCCAGTGTATTTTCAGGCTGACTGGGGAAGGGATTCAAACCAAAGTTATCATGTGGGATTTGGTTTCTCTAGTGCATTACCACTGTGCCGCAGAGCTGGCCCTGAAACTTCATTCTTTTAACAAACAGTGAACCCTAGAAGACTTCCAAAAACCGAATTTAAAAAGAAGGCTCTCTGAAGGTAGTGAGTAATAATAGAATGGAACTGAAAAACTGAGAAATAGGAATGCTGGGAAACTATTGATACAAATATATGGCATTTCTGAGGTCACACAGTTAATTATTACCTGATCCTATAGCTTGGCTCTTTAACATCTCTCTCTCTCTTTCACTATTAGCACACGCCAATTGGAATGTTTAAGATTTTGCTCAGGGTTAATCAAAGATATTTATTTCAAAGGCCCAGTAGTTAAAGGCAACCTGCAAGCAGTGGTAACTCAACAACATTTTCACTTATCATATTAACACCCTAACATCTTTGGATAGAATGTTTTTTTACATATAACATTCCTCTTTATCCCTTTCACTGGGTGCCCATTTACATTGCCACAGCTGGTGTTCTAAAATACATACATCTAAAAGTAAGTGAAATAAGTGAAACAGTCAATAACCTGGAAATTGAGGTATGACTACATAGCTAATTTAGAATAACAATACTCTAGGGACCAGCAGATGGTGTAATTGGTCATGTCGCTGACTCCCACGCAGTTGACCACAATTCAGGTCGTAGACCTGGTGGCTTGAAACTCATACCAGGCATGTGTGAACACACGCCTGTTTGTGTGTGTGTACACACATGCATGCCCAAAATCCCAGGAGGAGAATGGAGGAAAAGGAATTGCAGAGTGGCCATCTCCCCAGGGAATGCTTTCTGTTTCTGTCTCTCTCTCCCTCTCTCCCTCCTGAGAGTACACAAGCCCTATAGTAAAAAGAGAGTGAGAGAGAACGACAATGCTCTAAAAATAAAAGAATGACAACATTCTAAGGTATTATTTAAGGGTCACATATACAAGTATATAGACTTTCATATTCACAAAAGAATGATTCTTGGTCACCTGGCATGCCTGGCATAGTACAAACATAACTCATTTCACACAACACCTATCCCAATCATAATAATCATAACCTGCTTTATGCAACGGCTTCATCATCGAAGTTAAAACTATTTCTTTGTGTGTGGGGGGGAGGTTTTTGCTACACAGCATATGCACTTCCCAGAAAGACAGAGAGACACAGAAAGCGAGAAATTGCCGCCCTCCCCCAGGGGGGGTGGTGGCCACACTGCAATCCCTTCTCCTCATTCTCCTCTCGGGATCTTGGGCACACAGGCACGCGCATGCACCCGGTGTGAGTTTAAGCCACTGGGTCCAGGACTCCAACCACGGCTGGCTACATGAGAGTCCAGCGACATAGCCATTACGCCAACTACTGGTCCCAGCTAAAACTACTTCTATGATACCCTTGACAGAAATAAATTAATTTCCCCATCACTGAAGTTTCACCTCTACCAGAAATACATTAATTGCCCCATCACTGAAGTTTCACCTTCCACCAATCTAATATACATACTGAACTTTGTGTAACACCTTTTTGGGGCCCTGGAATAAGTTATGATTCCCAGTGTAGACTTTTGAATAGTCTTAGTTTTTACAACTCCTAAGTATAACAGAAACGCAATGCATATAATGTACTTACATCAACACAACACACTAAAGATGAAGCAATAAAGACCCCACACTTCAATAATGTATAATATGCTGGTTTAAAGCCTCCATCAAAACTCAGTGACTATCTACAGAAACTCTTCTGTTCATATGCAAGTCTAAAAGGTACTATACTAACTTTTTCAAATTTAGGATAGGAATTAATTCTAAAGAGATGACTCTTTAACACTGAGATGCCAAATAGTTATTTAGAGAATATAACTGTAGCTATGCGAGGTACACTAGAGTTCACTACAAGACCCATAAAATGTATACTAATTATTCTTAAGAGATTTTATTTCAATGTTTCCATACTCTCATAGGTAATCAACATTTTACATATAACTATTCTTTTGGATATTAAAACATCTAGCTTAAGCTATAAAACGCATGCCCCTTCCACAAGCCTGGTATAATGGTGTTCATTTTTAAAAAATGTATCCTTCCTTGGGGCCAGCAGGCAGTGTGGTGGATAAGGTGCTCGATTGTCACAAGGTTAATCACAGTTCGAATCCCAGATCCAGCAGCTTAAAAAAATCACACCAGGCACCTGTGTGTGCATACCCAAAATACTAAGAGGAAAATGGAGGGGAAGAGATTGCGGCATGGCCATGATTCTTGGAAGGGTGTGTGTGGGGGGGGAGGGGGGAATGCTTTCTCATCTGCCCTTTCTGTCAAGCACATGCATCCAATGACAAAAATCTAAAATAAACATATAAATAAATAAAACTGTATCCTTCCTAAATGAGCTTAATTTACTAAGTGAGCCCTAACAATATCTCAAGTAAGCAAATCTTGTTATGGGTTGTCATCTCTGAATATGTCTCTCTTTGCCTACAAATGCCTCAAGTAAGGCTAAGGCTTCAATTTTATAAAACCCTTCAGATCTTTGAAATTAACTTTATGTTATAAAATTACGTGTAGCTCAACCTCTCCAAAATCAAAGCTTTCTTGTTCTCAGAGCTAATATTTTAAACCAATTATCTTAAGTTATGAAAGAATAACTAATAGCACCTTAATTTACCTAGAGGTATTTTCAGCTTTGAAAGAAGTTTGACCTAAATTTGTTTTAACAAACAGTTTCAGAAAACTCAGAAACCAAAAAATCAGTATAAAGATAGAGTAAGAAACGGCATATCCCAGGAAGAGAACACTGGAAGTTGAAGTCCAACACCTGTTCTCCACTCACCTAGTCATATATACAGTCTTCAGAATCAGAGTTCTTTAAAACTGATTTTTTAAGTGACAAAGCTGATGCCTAGATCAAGGTTATCCACTCATATAAATCTACAGTACCCAGCAATCTCCTCTAGCATTTCATTTCACTCCATTCTTTTGTATTCATAGATTCCCTACAACCTAACTGTTGCACACTGGATCTCAAATGTAGCCACCTCTGGTCTTCTAAGGAAACAGGGAGCACTGTGTAGGGTTGGGAGTTTGAAAAAAAACAGCATTAGTAGCTTTAATCCCATCACTGCCTTGGATTTATAACTCTAATGTCAAACAACAGATACTTTCAAGAATATTCGCAATGCTATAAAGAAAGTTGAGACATGTTTTAATATTCCTTTTACTGGGGAATAAAGTGGCTTACAGGCTTCAAGTCTATTTATCCCTCACATTAAGTTTACTTTAGCCTAATATTAAGTTAGATCTGCCTTTTGACAAGAAATGTTAAATTTTAGGCTTTATAATAAATTCAAGTGAAATTATGTACTAAATCAGAAGCCAAGTTAAAACTCAAGTTCCAAATTTTTTTTCTGCATGTGCTTTTAGCTAATAGTTATATACATCTCAATGAATTAAAAATTATTCAACTGGTATGTACACTATAATGACTATCTCCTTTCAAAACCAAATGAATATAGCATATGATATACATATTTTTAAATGCAATCAATTATCAACATATACTACTATTATGCTTTTATAGCATCCTGATGTTTTGATATAAGTTTGAAAATTAGATCAGCTAAATCTTAATGGCAAACAGTCTGTACCAGCATTATCTAAGGTCCACATCAGTTTTTACTAAGGATGTGTATAGGACAGTCAAGGGCAATCATAAAGTAATACCCAGATATTGAGGGGTTTTAACCAACCTAATTAAAGCCAGTATTTCAACCTCCATATGGTCAAATTAGCTTTGAAAAGAGAAAAAACTTTATGTGACATCCATTAGTACTGCCTTCTCTGGAGGAGATTAAAAAAAAAAAAAAGGAGGGCATTTTTATATTCTGATTTCTGCAGTTTTTTAGACAAACCTGTATTAGTATTTATAGAACAATAGGTAGAATTCCAACCACCACTTATTTTTCAAGTTCTCTTATATACTTGGTATTTAGATACAAGAAAAAGATAACCAAAACTCAAAGCAAGAACTCAGCTTTTCGCTCTTCCCAAGCCTTATTATTTCCAGGTGTTGTAACAGGCACCAGGGCGGACAGATTTGAGCTCGATTTCCGCTCCTCCTTATGCCCCTACAATTCTCTCATGAGTCCAAGACCAACGGAGAAACTACTAGCCTGAAAAGTGGGAAAAGGATGTTGACGGTAGGGCGGGAAGTTGGATAACCAGACCTTTAGTTAAAAAAAAAAAAATTAAATTAAATTAAAAACTCTGGCTGTAGTTCCTAGAAATAACTTACCACAGGCCTGTAAAGTCTCGCAAAGGATAAAGCCCAACAGGCTTTCCTTAACTCCAAAACAACAACCTTTACAAAGCAAGAGAGGGTTGGGACATCACAACACCCAGATTTCTAATTGTGGAAAGTTCAAACAAATTTGTTCCTCCGGAGAATGGAGGGAGGGAGGCGAGAGCAAATCTGGACTCGGCCGAGGGAGCGAGCCGGATGAGCACTATGCGCGGCCGCCGGTCCAACGCCGGGAGGCGCACGGAAAGTCGGCCGCAGAGACTTCATCCAGCTGGGAGTCCCGGCCGGAGGACGTGCCCCGAGCCGGCGAGTACGTGAGGCCAAGTAGTTGGAACGAGGACGCGGACCAGGAGGGCGACTGGTTCTGACGCCTACGGGCAGGGGTCGGTGGCTGGGGTGGAAGTTGGGGGCGGGACGGAGCCGGGACGCCAGGGAGGGAGCGTCGAGGGCGGCAGGCGGCTCTACTTACTCGGCTGAACCAGATGCTGAGGCGGGGCGGGGGCCGGCCCGCGGAAGAAAGCCCCTGCCGG